TCCTTCTCCGATGCCCCACCCCAGCCCTGCTGCCGTAATCTTCTGGTGCGGTGGGAGTTAATGGAACTGAGGGAGCTGTGACAGGCACTCATCAAGAGTGCCTGACTATGCCCACAATTTCTGCCCACTGCTTCTTTTCATACAAACTGTACTACTGCTTCTATGAATGAAATATGATCTATGAATGGAGGACAGGTGGATGATTGACAGGTCTGCTCCCTCCATTCACAGATCACGCTTCATTCATAGAATCTGTAGTATGGCTTCTTTTCATGTTTTTTTAAAAATAAACTTCAACTTTGAATGGGATGTTCAGGAGAAGTTTATATTTGAAGTTCGCATGGCAAATGCCTATGTATTCATATAATAAACAGGTTCCAAGGCAGCCAAGAAAACTTTGCACATGCTTGCTACCTACCTTGATCACCATACTTGGTGCATATTTTGTAAGGAAATGGTCCACAGACACAAGCTTTATCATTATGGAAACTGACTTAACGAGAATGCCTTGTATCAGAAGCACAACAATCTGTGTAATGTACAAGGAGTAAAAAAGCTACAGCTCTCTAGAGATGTGAATAATTGCAGTTCACTTATCTAGGAAATGACAAATCCTCCAGACTGCTTAATACACTGGAGAACAACTATCTGGAGAATGGCTATCTCATAAACTGCTTGACTCATACATGACCCTTATTTTTGGTGCCTAGTGAGGATCACTTGGAAGGCATTAGCTTTTACACATTTTGGGAGCTCTTCCTTCATACCATATATCATCCACTGTAAATTGTAACACCACTCCAATTTTTTTTAATTAAACTGTATCTATTGTCAAAATGTAAAAGCATGTATTCATTTTCACATTGTATTTGAATTATTTCAAGCCTACTCCTATTACCCTGAACAGTTTTGTCATTTTTAAACTTACTTTGTCAAGATCCCCACACATTTATTTCCTTGAATTCTGTGATATATAATTGGGTGATACTCTATGTTACTGCTGGTAGGGGTTCCAGGAAAATAGGCGATTTTTACGGCCTCTGTAGTACAGCAAAATGCAATGTATAGAATGTTCCTAACACACATGAAAAGTTAAGTGAAAAAGTGACTTTTAAATAGGACAAATCAGATTCAACACTGAAGACTGAATATGTAAAGAGAAATGATGGTCTTTTAATTTTGTTCCATAAATATGTTGCTTCAAACAGCTCCAGATGGTCCAAGAGTTGTCCTAGCATGAGAATATCTGCTGCCAAGCTTCTGGGGGTTTGTTCATTAAACAGGATCAGAGGTATTAGGTAGTGTTGAGAACATTTTGGATCCTTTTTATTTTGAGCATGGAAGTCTAGACAAGGAGAGTGAAAGTGGGCTCCCTGACCATCAACCCATGTCAGATTTTGTTCTGGCTGGGTAGACAGGTACTTCTAAAACAGGGAGTTCCTGTTATAAGTGGTGGTGGTGTGTGCAAGTGTAGGCAGGTCTGTGTTACCCTACAGACTGGTCACGAAGCTGGCTGGCTGATCAAAAAAACTGATCTATCACTGGCCAGCTGGAAATGGAAGTCTTGGCCAGAACCAACAAAGCTTAAAACTGCTCCCACCCACCTTCTAACTCCTTTACGAACTACCATGCAGAGGGGAAATGCTTATACTTACCAATTATCAGGGTGCTCTGGTCCAGTCACATGATTGGCTCCTAGTGTCTGGCTTCAGAGACGAGGAGGGACAGCCAACAATGGATGCCCCATAGTAAGCCTATGGGTGATGTCACTGCCCAAACCTTCCATCCACTGTTGGTGCTCTCTCCTGTCTCCTGAAGCCAGCTGCTGGGGTGGGATCATGAGACTGGACTGTAGTGCTCTGAGAATAGGTCAGTATATGCATCTTCCTTTTACAAGGTAGTTAATATAGAAGTTAGAAGGTGGATGGGAGCTGTTTAGCATAGTTAGTTCTAGCCCAGACGTAAGTTTAGGTTGGTTATGTTGAGCATACTGTACCTACCTGTGGGAGGAGATGTATTAAGCTTACTGCTTGATGAATGAAAGTAGATAGAAAGCCCTGAGCTAATGACTGACCCATTTTTGTTATAAAATGCACCTTTACATTACAATAAATGTTCACTACTTTTAGCTCACCGTATCTCATGTACCTTGTGACATCAAAGTATTCATACCAGCTCCCCCCCAGCTCTGAGTTCTGTATATTGTGCTTTTTTTTTTTAAATGATTCCAACTTTTTTTGATAACTAAAAAGACTTTTTATATACTTTTTCATATTTATAAACAGATTATTGAAAAATATAAAAACAGCTTCTGAAATTGTAAAGATCACATTTATAGATTCATTTCCAGGTAAATGTTACAATAACTCAAAATATGTACTCACTGAAAATACACTAAAATAACATTTTAAATCTGACGTTTTGACACCCCAGCCTCGTCATTCAGTCATAATACTTATTAAATGGGTTCATTACTGGTGGCTTAGAACAAAAGATGAAGCTGCATTTCATGAGATGAAAATTCAAAAGGCTCTAAAATAACAGGGGACAGTTAAATGGGAAACTAATGGGGAAATGAAAATTCAAATCTCCGAGAACATTTCATAGGATTTATAAGTGCCATATTGCCACCTGACATTTATCAGTTTCCTGAGTTATTACAACACTCTCTACTAGCCAATGCATTGAACTAAGTCCCCAGGATATGGATAGGTTCTGGCTGGAGTCTTGTAAATCTGGATGAAATATTGCATATATATACATAATACATGTCATTTTGCCAGCTTAATGAGCTGCTTCCCTTTGCTGAAAGCTGATTTATTAAGAAGCCGAGCTGGTTGTATCAGAAGGTGTTTAGAGGTTATATGACAAGTCTATAACTTGACAACTAGCACATGTTCACTTCTACTTCTGTGGGATTATCCAGTAGGAAAGTGCAAAGGCTTATTTACAAAGGTCAGTTACCTATATCAGCCAATCAGAATGACCTTTTAGTTGATCTGACTACAGCAAATAGCTGTTGGATATGTTTGTGTCTGTGCATCACCATTGGTCATTCCACTGTCCTAATAATCTGTACCCTACAGACTAATAAAGCCAGTAATAACACTGCTTCATTATATATACAGTATATACAATATATATGTATATATATACAAAGTGTGCAATTGCAGCTGAAAATACAGGAGCACTAGCAGCAGGTCCTGTTATCAATGTCATGACTCAAGGGGGGTAACAGTTGGAAAAAGCCAGTTGTTGGCTTTACCCAAGCATTGATTCCCCCAGCCACCTCTCTGTAAAAGCCATATGACCTTCTGGCTGATGGGACCCGAAGCTCTGCTTTCTTTACCAATGATAAATAGCTTACTGCTGAAATTGTATTTTATATGTTTAGATTACCTTATAATTACCATAGGTTTCACTTGTCTGTAAAATATGGGTCCAGCTTCAAAAAACAAGCTTGTGAGTTTCTTCGGGCATTTTATTTGATGGATTGTAATTGTTATAGCTTGTCAGTCAATGACTGAAATATGCATTAGAAGGAAATGTCACTAACTAACAGAGTATTACATACTTACGGTATACTGTGGATGGATGTATAGCATAATTGTGGCTTGCAGGGATTTCCGCAAGAAAAACTCCCAGTGGAAAGGCAGGCTATTGATTACAAAGAGAGGATGAAGTATTCACTTAATATAACCAGTTAACAGATTAAACAAAATCTGTTACTTTGCCCATTTATGACCACAGGACAGGTTCTCTTGACAGCCCACCTTCCCTAATCACTGATACTCACCTTTGCCCCACTCTGCTAGAAGTAGCCAGTGTTTGGGGGTATATGGAGCTTGTGACTTTTTCCATGGGGTTCAGTGTGCAGGCCTTTTAGGCCTATTGCCATGCCCAAATACTTTCCAGAGGGAAAAAGAGAAGAAAAAGAGAAGATCTACCATGGAGCTTACCCTGAAATTAGACACAGGGCTTGGAGGAATGTTCTGAGAGAAGGGGAAATGCAATAAAGATAGGCACCAGTGGGTGGAGGTGGCCTGGCAAGGGAGCCTTTCATTTTGCCCAAAATGGTCAAAGTGACTGATTCTCTTTAATTCTTGTGTAGCCGAGTCTGCAGCACTGACAGGAAAAGGCTTCTGTGTCTGGGAGCAGAGGAGAGTTTTACACAAGAATAGCTATAGAAGGGGACTCCTATTGTAGAGCTGTGTACAGCCAGTGTTAATCCTGCCATCTACCCCATAGGAAGGTACACAGAATGTGAAATGCAAGGGTTGTGGGAGGTATAGTTATGACAGACTGAGCTGGCTTAGTGAGCTGGAAGGAGTAAACTGCAAATCCCACATGGCTCTGAGGCAAAGAGAGGTGGTTTTCTGCTGTTTTCCCAGGCTGAGGAGAAGTGTTTTGAGAGGATATCAGGCTGCTAACAGACCGCTCACCACTGTACCAGATTGGGAGAGAGGCACAGCAACAGACATTCTGGGAGAGCGGAGAGCGCCATGGATGCTGATAGAGCCTGCTGCCTGATAAAGCGGTAAGGACGCTGTAGACACAGGTCAGCTGTATTTCACCCAGTGTATAGAGGGAGAATACCTGCTAAAACAAAAAGTTGGTGAGAGGCCGCTGGCCAAATCCACATTACATTTTGACAAAAGAAGGATAGTGTTGCCTGCGAGTATCACAGAGCAAGCGACTTTATCAGCACTTAAAAGAAACCAGAATCAGTGTCATCATCAGCACTTAAAGGAACATTATCCTGTGTGATTCAAAAATAACAGTTGGGCCCCAATGAGATGGTTAGCGGAATTAGGAATGTAATCTGGCACTTATCACAAGGCAATCAGAGATGCAGCAGCAGTGAGAAGCTGTGAATCACAATGGTGAAATATCAACAAGCACCTACTGCTGTGATCCACAGCTTCATGCTGCTGGATCTCACCACATCCGCTGCATCTCTTATTGCCATGTGATAAGTGCCTGAATGTAATAAGACTAACATTGTGACCAGGGGCGGACTGACAACTCATGGGGCTCCCGGGCAATAGGGGATCATGGGGCCCCTATGTCCTTGCCCAAACTCGAAAAAGCCTATAAAAAAGGTACCAGGGGAATCTCATGGGCCCCCTACTGACCCCGGGCCCTCGGGCAGTGCCCGAGTTTCCAAATGGTCAGTCCGCCCTGATTGTGACGCACCCCCAGCGAGGCGGGTGCATGACAGCCTGGTTCCAGAGGACGGGGGGGGGGTAGAGTGATGCTGCCTGTCAATTAACATGGCAGTGGCTGCATCTAAGAAAAGAAGTACTGCAGAGGACAGCTCCGGGTTAAGGGTGAGTGACGCAAAGGGTGAAGCAAAGGCGTCATTTTTATTTTTAATGGTGCTGGTCTCTTGTATTTTAAATAAAATAAATTGAAGTTCAACTTTAATTAAGAGTTCAAATGCTTGTTTGACTTCGCCCCAAATGATTCTTCATCATCCGATTAAAAAATCTAAAAATACATTTTAAACATTTTTGCTCTGCCTTTTTTTTTATGGATGGTAAAGTTTAATGAACTGAAGAGGAACATAAATGTAATCTGTCAAGGTCCAGCACTGTCAATGTCAAGCCAAAAAAAATGAATAAGCAAACTACGTACTGTAAATGTATAAAGTAAAACGAACAAAGGGGAACTGGCTTGGAGTGACACGGTAGCCTCAATTCACAAAACAAAGTGCACAATTTCACTCTTGTGCATTATCTGCTTATTTTAACTCTCAGGCCTTACTGTAAGCATCACATGAGTTTTAATGAAAAGCCAATATTTGACATTTTGATAATGTAAAAAAAAAAGTTAAACAGTGCCATGCTTTGTAAGAACAAAAAGTACGGCCCTACACAACGGACACCAACCCCCACGTTTCAGCATGTAGACTGGTGTGAACATGCCCTTATTGATTTCTTAGAATAAAAGTTAATGCACAAAAAATATTGCACAGGATTGTTTTGCATTAAAATATTGCTAGCTTGTAATGATACTTGCAATCTTCAAAGAGAAGTCTAAGGAGAGCTAGAAAATTTGAGAGGGTGATAAAATGACGCTCCATAGTATAGGCAGGCTCTTAACAGTTAAAGCCACACTTCGGACAAAATATAAATGCGCTAATACATAGATACATATATGAGAGCTGTCAAAGGATTTATGTTTTTATCTATTCAAATCTGAGATCTACATGGCCAGGAGAATGACACCACATTCTCTGTTAAAGAACTCAAGGAGAAAAACATTTATTAAAAAATCTGCTGGGTTACAAATAATGAAATCTCAGGAGGTGTATGCCTCCTCCTGGATCATTGCCTGGTCTTTTACAATATATAACTTTATTTATGGTGGGAATGATAGCTTTCACTATACTTTCACTATTCAGACAGGAGACTTGTGGTTCTACTGCACAGCAGCCGCCCTGTCATTTCTCTGCCCCTGCCCCTTAGCTCCCCTTGTCTAAACACAAAATGTATTTTGTGTCACCTAATACAAAGCTGTCAAGGAGATGGCTGTGCCAACATGGCCCCTCGTACTACACAATAATGGATAGCCTAGGAATGGCAGTAGACAGACCTGAGAAGTGTAAGCCAAGTGCAAACTTCCAGTAGCCCCTCAGGGCATGATAGAGCTGGGAGCAGGATCTGCAGAATAGGAACCAGGCTAGGTCACTCTGGAACATATGGGAGAGAAGAAATGGGTCAGGACTTGGCAAGTATAAAGATGGTACCGCTTGAGAGCAGGTGACTTGGGATTCCCCAAAGGTGCAGAGCCTAAAGGCCAGCCGGAATTCATGAGAGACACCCTCACGGTAGTGTTAGGCTTTGCTTTGTGCTGTCCCCAGGTCATGATCCCTTGCTTAATCCTACTGAATACCACGTACCACAAGCAGATAAAGGGAAGTAGGTCTGGAGCAGGTAGGTATACTGTGGGTAACAGTCCAGAGGTTGGAGCTGGCTGCAGCCACAGTAGACTGGATACAGGCCAGAGATCTGGGCAAACAGTAGATAGCTGGATCCAGGAAAAAAGCTAAAGGTCATGGCAGATTATGGACTTGGATAACTAGGAAACTAAGCCAAGAGGTTGACTCACAAGTGAAGCATCCTCCTAGTCACCTAGGGGGAGCTAGACCTCAATTGTTAGCTAGGAGTGGGTGGATCTGAGGAGTGACTGATCTGCAATTGTTTTATTTTTTTTTTATTTATAATTTTTATTTAGTAGTACGCAACAGTAACAAGGAAATGCCTTGAATAAGAGGCTTCACCAACCATATAAAATAAACAGAACAATTGTGTAATATCCAAAAGTAAATATTGAGCCATCTGTACATAGAGAGAACACCTTACATGCCCCCCTTACATGCCCCCCCCCTCATACAGTGTCTGCGGAGTCAAAACTAGAGGGTCTGGAAAGAGGGAAGACCACAGTAGAACTAGTTCTTAGGGACTGAGCATACCAGATTTTTCAATTTTGCATTCTAGTAAAGAAAATGAAGAGAAAAAGAAGGGAAAGGGAAGAAAGAGAGGGAAGGAGAAAATAGAAAAGAAAAATACAAAAAAAAAGGGGTGGGAGGAGTCAAAGGAAAACTATGTCATCAGGGAGCAGGGAACTGCACCACCCAGCATAGTTACAGCAAGGCAACGTTTCGGAGTCTCGCAGGACCCCTTCATCAGGCATTCTCCCTTACTGATTCTGTTTGGTTCCAGCCGACATTTGCTGCAGCATCCACTTATACACACAGCCATTTTTAACGCAGGAACGTGTGCATTTGCATTGTACACTTGCATTATGAGATATGTCTGTGGATTTGTGTATGAGTTGGAGCACTGGTTTCTAGAAGAACTGTAGTTTAGGGCATTCCCAGAAGATATGGAGGATAGTGCCCAGTTGTTGTTCACATCTCCAGCGACGGTCCGATTGATTGGGAAAGACTGGCGAGAACCGAAGGGGTCCTATACCAGTGGGCAATAATTTTATAAGAGGACTCTTGATATTTGCTGCAAAGGGAAGATTTTTGCACAAAGAAGAGGATGCATTCTTTCTGGGGTTTGATCTGCAATTTTGAGGGCGCCTGGCCAACCCCCAACAAGAGGGGCCAGGACAACTTTTAAAAGTGATTGAGCCTGCTCAGCTGCAGGAGAGTTTGGGTGGAAGACAGAGAGAAAGAATGCGAGGCTGAGAGCAGGACCACCTGTGTAGCAGGGAAGGAGCAGCCCAGCTAGAAGGCCTGGTAGCAGCCACCAACCCACCAGCCGTACAGGAGAATGACTAAGTGAGTAGACCTACACCCCTTGGGCCAGACAGGGGAAGGAGCACTCTGGTAGGAAAGCAGATTTGCCACCTACTGGGCTGTCTAATTCCTTAAAGTGATGGGCACCGGATCCCCTGCCCAAGGATACCTCCAGACAGCTGGGTAAAGAAGATGAGTTTATCTGGGGTGGTACTACAGAAGATGCTGGCTAGCTCTCTAAAAGAGACTGTGTTGCAGCAGAGACTTGTAAATAGTTCCAGGAAGTTGTCCTCAGTTCATTGGTTCCATTGGGTATCCCATATACCCACCTACCCTATCCAAGTTGAAATCCCCCTAATAAAACTTAAGAAAAAAAAACAAGCTCAAGGACTGATTACTGACTCCTGGATGAAAGATTGTGGAAAATCCATTTTTCCTGCCTGTGCAGGACTATAGGGGGACCCAAATACTCATTAGCTCCTAAGGGGGTAGTGCTACACAAGAAATTTGTGCTGTAGTAGTTAGTGGCTGTTCCTGGCCTTCAAGGAGAGGATTGTTTGGAGTTGTTGTTGGATATTGTTTTGAGATGGCCTTTTGTTGGACATCATGGGGTTTATTTACTAAAGCTGGAGAGTCCAAAATCAGACTCCCTTCTGCATAGAAACCAATCAGCTTCCAGGTTTCATTGCCAAAGCTTCATTGAACAAGCTGAGGTTAGAAGCTGATTGGTTTCTATGCAGAAGGGAGTCTGATTTTGGACTCTCCAGCTTTAGTAAATAAACCCCCATGGGTCTGCCTGGGACCCAGGAACAGACTAGAGTGGTGAAATGCCTCTCTTTTGCATGTTTAATAGCTTAGTGCTACCAATTTTCTGGGTTATCTTGGACCCTTTCCCCATTGGGATTACCAAACTATCCAGTTATAAGGCACTCCACCCAAAGACTACAGGTCCCAAGGACAGGGTTTAGTACTTCTGGCCTGTAGGGTAATCAGGGACTTTGCCTTCATTAGTTAGACTACGTAACAGTACACTATTGTGTTATTTCCCTTGTTGATGGTATTATTACTGTTTGGGTGTCTTAACCAAATTTCATCTCATAGGGCTTTTGTTCCTGAATAAAGTCCCTTTTTGTAAGTCACAAATTGTGTTGATGAGTCTTGAGCCAGCTCTGAGCAGGTCATAACTGGAGCAGGACAGAAGAACCCAATCAACACAACTGCTCCTTCAGGGGTGAGCGCTCCATGGAGGTTGTACAATCAGATTGTAAGATATGTGACCAGTATAAATGAAATCACCCAGTTCTTGTGCTCAGGCTCAGGAATTTGTATATCCTTCTCACAATTTACATGAAATGCTTTCTTCTTACTCAGTCACATAACTTCTTAACAGCTTCAGGATATGTTTTATTGAACAGCTCATATTTTCCCAGTGATCACTCTTCCACAAGGAAATAATCAATCCAGGTCATCACATTTGAATATTGTCAGCAGTATGTTAAGCGGGTTACTCCTGGGAAAACACAGCACGTTGCAGCATACATTTATGGCAATAGTTGTGGATCTGCTTTCGGAAAAGAGACAAACAAGGTGCAAGGTGAGGGGAGGGGGGTCACCTATTTCTTTGTAGCTTTTATGAAGGTCATATAGGTTCGGGATCTTTCCTATGCTGCAATGAATTTAAACAAAGATTGATTATGGTGAAATAGGGCCCAGGTAAAGTAGCTCTTGCCCCAATTACCCCACCCATACCTGATTGACCATTTTAGGCACTGCAATAGGCACCAAGAAGCCCGCAACATCTGCATTGTCCTATCAGACACCAACTGCTTACAAGTATATCCAGCTCTGTAAAGTAACAGGCAATGGAACGGCATTAACCAATAATACTATCCTCCTGGTTTTCTGCATGAGCATCAA